TCTATAATGCATATAAAACCAAACTAAAACAAGATAAACATCGATTCAAAATAAATTCCTATTTAAATAATTTTATATACTTACGTTTCAATTAGTTTTAGTTCCCCAAAAAAAATTATAAACAGTAAAACTACACAAAACAATAAATAAATAAATATGAAAATTCCACACCTGTAATTTTTAACCAATCAAAACGTGTATTTTTGATAGATCACCATGGCAACGGTTGAATTTTAGTGGAAATTTTTTCCTCGTGGGTACCCAACAGCGAATTATACTGGAAATTTTTTGACGTTTATAATGACAGAATATTTGTTTGACAATCTGGTTTTTATTTGTTTACATGATAATTTTGATACATTTCCATTACAAAGTTTAGATGTTTTCTATATTCGTTGGACACCTCCTTTCTTATTCTATTTAGACACTATTCTATTCACCTTTTTTTCCATTTAGCACTTTGAGTTTTGAATAGTTAAGATGCAAATATTCGTGAACAATTCAAAACAAATTTTCTTTCTTCAAGTAGGAGCCACAATCCTCTAATAATGCGGGTAAATAAGTCATTGCACGATGATTGATCATTACAGCAGACAATTTCACATTTTTTACGTCGTGCCGCTTGACAGCTTCAAAACTGAAATAACTTTTAGGTTGGGGTTGACTTAGTTGCCATGGTAACTAAATAATCAAGTCGAGGTCAAGTTAAATCAAAAAATAAATTTTAATTATTTAAACACAATTTGGTGTGGAATTTTCTTACCGAATACCACCCGAGGTCAAATTAAATCCGGAAATTTTTTCTCCCTCATGAATATTTTTAGAAAATTATCCCTCGTCTTCGACTCGGGATAATTTTCAAAATATTCATGAGCTCGAAAAAATTTCCGGAAATAATTTGACCTCTAGTGGTATTACTAGTGATAGGAAACAATTTACAATTTTGCCTACACAAATAAAGGTTATGTCCATTAACAAGCAGTCTCTGTTGACAAGCGTGCTTTGATGCCATGTTTCCACTTTAGTCAGAAACTCCCAGAAATATAATTCAAATTTATCGCCTTACAAGTTTGTTATTAAAGTAACCCTATTTCAGAAAAAATATAAATATAACACTTAGTAAAAATACGTTATTAATTTAAAAAAAATGATTTTAAGCATATACCTATATAATAATATATATTATTATATTATATTATAGGTATATGATTTTAAGTCTCCTCAACGTTTTTAATTAAAAAAAAATGATTTTAAGTCTCAACGTTTTAAACAAGCTCACTAAGCTGAGCTTGTTGCTCGCTGCAGGTGTGAATCGCGCCGCAACCGCTCCACCTAAATGTATGGTAATTTTAATGATGATTTCTCACATATCATCTGTCACATGTCATCTGTCACATGTCATCTATCACCTACCATTTGTCATCTGTCATCTGCCATTTGTCATCTGTCACCTGTCATATGGCACCTGCCATCTAACATTTGTCAACTTACTTGACATGTCACCTGTTCACTTGACATCTGTCACCTGTCATCTGGCACCTGTCACCTTTCACCTGTCATCTGTCACCTGTTAACTTGACATCTGTCACCTGTTATCTGGCACCTGTCATCTGTCATTTGTCACCTATCATTTGTCATCTGTGACCTGTCAACTTGACATCCGTCACTTGACATGTCGGGCAAAATTTGACGGAGAAATCGAAAAAAAGTGGACTTGGGCCTTTTCGACACCGGATGGTCCGCGGGTAGGTCTCCGGCCTCCGAGTACGGTTTTTAAGAAGTAAAAATAAACGACAACCGTGCTTTTCTGCGCAGGTGCCTTAGCTAATGAGATAGAAAAACATAGCACAGTTACCTGCCTGTGTAATAATGAAAAAATGTTTATTAATTTCTTTTAATGAAGACTTAATTTCTGTTTTGCGAAACAATGTCAAAATCCAATAAATTTAGCAGACGTTTGCGGGTAATAACAGACGTACGCAGGTGAAAGCAGACATTTGCGGATGAAAGCAGACGTTCGCGGACGAAAGCCGACGTTTGCCGGCGTTCTTAGACGAAGCCAAGCAGGCGTTCGCAGGTGAAAGCAGATGTTTGCGGGTGAAAACAGGCAAAAGCAGACGTTTGCGGGTAAAAGCAGACGTTTGCAGGTGAAAGCAGGCGTTCGCAGACGAAAGTCGACGTTTGCGGATGAAACCGGGCGAAAGTAGATCAAACTAAATGCCGGCGATCGCGGGTGATTGCAGATGATTGCGGGGTTGCACTAACCGGGCGAAAGACAGGTATAACCGGGCGTTCGCAGGTGAAAGCAGACGTTTGCGGGTGAAAAAGTATGAAATCAGGCGTTCGCGGGTAAAATCAGACGTTTGCGGGTGAAAGCAGGCGTTTGCAGGTAAAAGTAGACGTTTGCGGGTGAAAACAGGCAAAAGCAGACGTTTGCGGGTAAAAACAGACGTACGCAGGTGAAAGCAGGCGTTCGCAGACGAAAGCCGACGTTTGCGGATGAAACCGGGCGAAAGTAGATCAAACTAAATGCCGGCGATCGCGGGTGATTGCAGATGATTGCGGGGTTGCACTAACCGGGCGAAATACAGGTATAACCGGGCGTTCGCAGGTGAAAGCAGACGTTTGCGGGTGAAAAAGTATGAAAGCAGACGTTCGCGGGTAAAAGCAGACGTTTGCGGGTGAAAGCAGGCGTTTGCAGGTAAAAGTAGACGTTTGCGGGTGAAAACAGGCAAAAGCAGACGTTTGCGGGTAAAAACAGACGTACGCAGGTGAAAGCAGGCGTTCGCAGACGAAAGCCGACGTTTGCGGATGAAACCGGGCGAAAGTAGATCAAACTAAATGCCGGCGATCGCGGGTGATTGCAGATGATTGCGGGGTTGCACTAACCGGGCGAAAGACAGGTATAACCGGGCGTTCGCAGGTGAAAGCAGACGTTTGCGGGTGAAAAAGTATGAAATCAGGCGTTCGCGGGTAAAAGCAGACGTTTGCGGGTGAAAGCAGGCGTTTGCAGGTAAAAGTAGACGTTTGCGGGTGAAAACAGGCAAAAGCAGACGTTTGCGGGTAAAAACAGACGTACGCAGGTGAAAGCAGGCGTTCGCAGACGAAAGCCGATGTTTGCGGATGAAACCGGGCGAAAGTAGATCAAACTAAATGCCGGCGATCGCGGGTGATTGCAGATGATTGCGAGGTTGCACTAACCGGGCGAAATACAGGTATAACCGGGCGTTCGCAGGTGAAAGCAGACGTTTGCGGGTGAAAAAGTATGAAAGCAGACGTTCGCGGATGAAATCAGGCGTTCGCAGGTAAAAGCAGACGTTTGCGGTTGAAAGCAGGCGTTTGCAGGTAAAAGTAGACGTTTGCGGGTGAAAACAGGCAAAAGAAGACGTTTGCGGGTGAAATCAGACGTTCGCGGGTTAAAGCAGACGTTCGCGGACGAATGCAGACGTACGCATGTAAAAACGTACGTTCGCGGATGAAACCGGGCGAATGCAGACAAAAACAGAAAATCAAAATGCAGGCAAACGCGGGTGAAATCAGGCGAAAACATAATCTTATATATAATTAACGTCAATGCCGGGCGTTTGCGGGTGATATTTACACCCGGCAGCGCAGGTGAAAGCAGGCGTGCGGGCAAAATCTGGTATGGCAGGCAAAAAACATATATAACCGGGCGTAAAACCAGCTTGGTTTTTCACCCGCACATACCTGCAATCACCCGGCTTTTTCAGCAGGGTGGCAAAACCGTATATTGTTATAAATTAAGTTTTAATTATCAACTCACATCTATTTTTAACAGTTTTGTTTTTGGTTTACCTTGATATATTTATTTTGGGGGAAAATATGGATTTTTAAAAAAAAACATTGCAATTTCCAATATTTTTCCTGTATGAAGAACTAAGGTTGCTATGGTCGATCCATAGCCTATGGAGGATGACAGTGAAAGTTTTGTTGAATCATCCCATAGTTGGACATGTCATATACAGCTTTCAAAAGTTATCAAATTGTTTTTGTAAATTAATATCTTAATTTTGAGGTGTCTTACTTTTAAAAATGTCTCCTACTGATGTTGCCCTTTGTACTTTACTTCTTGAGACGTTTAAAACACTTGCCCCGTAATACTGTGACCATCCATCCTGAACTAAATTAATGGCTCTGGCAACATCAGTCGAAGTCTTATCAATTTTTTAAAGTAAGAAGACACCTCAAAATTTAAACATAATTTGCAAAAAACAATTTGATAGCTTTTGAAAGCCGTGTATGACATGTCCAAGTATGGGATGATTCAACAAAACTGTCACTGTCATTCTCCATAGCATATGGATGGACCATAGCAACCTTAGTTCTTCACACAGAAAAATATTGGAAATTGCAATGTTTTTTTAAAAAATCCATATTTTCCACAAAACTAAATATATCGAGGTGAACCAAAAACAAAACTGTTAAGAATAGATGTGACTTGATAAATAAAACTTAATTTAGAACAATATACTGTTTTGCCACTCTACAGAGTATCTTAAACTTATGATAAAAAACATATTTTTGTTTAAACCTGTATATTATAAACGTACGTCTATTTTTTAGTAATTTTTTAAAATGTGAGCGATTGTCCATTCATTTATCTACAATATTCTTTAATATTCGTTTAATTCCGACATCAAATAAAAAAGTTATTTGCGATTGAAATTTATCGAAAATTTGTGTGGATCGATTATTTTGCCTGTGAGTGTATAATGTGTTGCTCCACAGGTGTTTTTTTCGAGTAGTATATTTAATTATTACACTTTTTACATAATTATTAAAAATAGTTTAATTAAGACTGTAAAATAAATAGTGCCTTCAATATTTAAATTAATTAATTAATTTGTCAGTTTAATAAAGAAACTGCAACTCAAAAGCAAAATTTCTGTGATAATAAATTAACAATTAAGTATAGGTAAGCCTATATCTTTTTATAAATATCGAATAATATGTAGTGCAGTTTTAACTAAAAAACATTTAAAAATTTAATTTTTATTATATGATAATTAATAATATAATTACTGTAATCATACATATAACTGAACAAGGACAGTTTTCTATAACTAAAAAATGTTATATGTAAAGTATAAAATATGTGCAATTTCACTTTTGTGTTCAAATAAATCAGTTAAAGTAATTTTTTTGTTTAAATTCCACAGAATGATTACCTACTTACCTTCAAAAGCAAACACAATAACAGTCTTAAACATTTACAAGTTACTTATTCATCATTCTGAGTCTTCTCTAATTTTGCTTTTTTAGCCCTTCTAAAGGACCTTTTTTGGGAATCCTTTTTGCTACCAGCCAATTGACCCCGTCTTCTCATAGCATCCAATTTGAAGTTTTTTTCCTTAATTTTCTTTTTCTGGTCATCGCCCTTCTTTTTACCACCTTCTGTATACAGAACATTGATTCTACGTCCGTTCAATTGGGAGTGATGCATGGATAAGCTCCGCTAAAAATTAAGTTCGTATAAATAACCATAAAAATACATAAATATATAAAAATACCTGATAAGCTTCTTCGTTGTCGACTTCAACATAAGCAAAACCTCTGGGTCTATTGGATTTTTTCTCTGTTGGTATTCTGACATGTTTCACATTTCCAACTTTCGAGAAATGCTCTTTTAAATTTGCGGGGGTCGCGTCATATGGAATGTTTCCGACAAAAACAACGTATCTCTTTTGATTTTGCTTCACAATGTCGATTTTTTTTAAATCCTTTATTTCAACTTCCTTTTTTGGCTTCTTTTCCTTAGGTTGTCCATCTGCAGCTGTGGCATTTTCTTTGGGTTTTGGATTTTGTTTGTTTTGCTTTATTTTTTTATTTATTGGTTTACTTACTGGAGCTAGATCTTCTGATTCATCCTCCTCTTCAGAATCATTTTCTACAGGTTTTTTTTTCATTTTATTACTTTGTTCCTGTTTTGGTTCATCAGATTCTTCATCTGATGAATCGTTTTCTTCTTCAGATTCATCATCTTCTGATTCATCAGCAACTGTAGAATTTAATGTGCTGGTGTCAATTTCATCAGATGATTCTTCCTAAGAGATTTAGTTTTAAAAATTAGTTGATTGAAATTGGAAATCATATGCAGTTATTATGATTTTTTGGGTAAAGGATAAAAATAATAAAAAAAATATTGTAAATAAAAAATTTATTACCTAAAAATATAAGTAATTATAATACATAACACACTTCTTATAAGTAAGAATCTAGGAATCAAATAATACATTTTAACATTACTTATTTTCAGGCTTAAGTTATGTACTGTTTTGTATTTAATTTGTATTTAAGGTCAATAAAATTTGTAAGTGAACACTTAAAATTAACTAAATATTAGTTCTTAGGATAAAATTCAACAACAGAATCTATAATTTGAAGTTATTCTCACTGATAAGAAACATATATCTGGTCCTCCTTAAAATATCTTCCTACCATGAGTATTTACTGTAAACAAAAGAAATAAATTAAAAATAAAATCATAATAACCCATATCAAAAATATTTTAGAGACAATATTTTAGGAGTTTTATTATAAAAAAAAATAATTATACCTCATCATCGGAATCATCATCCTCCTCCACCTCCTCATCATTGTCATCGTCGTCATCATCTTCCTCTTCATCGCCAGCATCAGAATCTTCTTCAACCTCTGATCCTTCTTCATCAGAATCTTCCTCTACTTCTTCTTCACCTTCATCATCTTCAGATTCTGGTTCTTCTTTCTTAGCTACTACCTTTTTAGAAGGTGCTGCCTTCTTTGCTCCAGCTTCCTTTTTGCCAGTCTTTTTTTCCACCTTCTTATCATCGTCATCCTCCAATAACTTCTTCATATTTTTCCTTCTTTCACGCCTTTTGGTTGCCTTAGAGGGACCAGGTTTCTTTTCCTGTTTACCAGCAACTGGTTTTGGTTTACCTTCAGCTTCAGCTTTAAGTTTTTTCAATAGAGCCAACTTTCTCTTGGCAGTTTTTGTGACTTCCGTTCTCCCTTCAATTGCCGCAATCTTGGCTTCAATATCACTAACAATTGCCTTGTTGCCCCCAATGACTTTCTGTTTTAATTCAAAGAACTGTCCTTTCTTCTTTTTTTCACCTGCTTCACGTTTTACTTTTGGCTTCTGTACTTTTTTGTCAGCATTTGGTGCAGCATTTTCTGGGGCTGCCTTTGGAGTAGCTTTTGGTTTACCTGTACCGGCAAACTTCTCCAACTTGGCAGCTTTTTGTGGGGTGTTATTTTGCTTCTTAGGGCTGACAGCATTGGCATTTTTCTGTGGAGATTTGCCCTTGTTGGGGGTTTTACCTGGGTTGTTTGGTTTCGTTTTTTTAGCGGATTGTGGTGCCTTATCATTTGGCATACTCTTCCTCTTGTTTGGGGTTTTAATATTTTTTACGTCAGTCATCTGAAGAAGAACAAGAAAATTGTAATTTATATTTAAAGAAAAACAACTATGAAGTAAAAATGCCAACTTAACTCAAAAGAAATCAACACAAAAACGTGTTTAATTTTAGTTTTAATTTAAAAAACATACCCACCTCATGGTGTTTTACAATTTAAAAAAATATTTATTAAATAGAACTGAATAATCATTTAGTTGATTGTTATTAACAAAAACTATACTTACAATTAAAATTCTTTAGAAAACGTAAATTGAAAAACTTAACAGCAACACGAGATGAACACACACAGGGAGAAAACGTGCAAGAGATTTTCGGCACGCTACAATTTCTAGGTTATGACGCTGTGCCTAGAATACCGTGGTAGATATTTAAAAAACTTTTTTTTTAAATTATTTTCATAATATTTAACTAAAAATATTTTAATCCCAGTAATAATAACGTGTTTATCATAAGCGGCATTAGCTAAATCCTTTAATTTTCTTAATTTAATTAAAATTTGTGTCTAAAACGACTACGTTTGATTAGAGTTCTAGAACTAGTTTTAGAGAATGGCAATAGGTGGCGTGCAAATTAAATTTTAAAACCATGGTAACAAATTCAAATTTGATCAATTTGAAAAAATGGAAACTTTTCAAAAACCGCAAATAATATGCCACGCGGAGAAAAGTGTGGATTATTCCATACACGACGTAAAATGGATACCTTGCTCAGCGAAATTCGTGGCTATGGGAGGCAAATCAAACGGAGCTGGAATTGTGGAAATTTATTCTCTCACAGGGGAAGGACTGGAAAAACAGACGGAATTTTGCAAGAAAGATTATTTTAAATGCGCTACTTTCGACGCTTCGAGTTTAAGGAACAGGCATTTAGCCACTGGGGATTTTGGGGGGAGATTACAAGTTTGGTAAGTTAATTTTTATTTAAATAATAATGAAGTTTGTTTTAATTTTTTTTTAGGGATTTGGAAGATACGTTTGTGCCTGTTTATATGACCACAAAGCATTCACAAGTAATAAACTCTATTGATGGTGTTTCTGGTAGGAATTCTGGCTGTGGGGCTCCAGAAATTGTCACTGGATCAAGAGACGGTATAAAAAGTATAGCATTGTTAAAATTGTTTAAATACTTAATTATTTAGGTTCTGTAATGGTTTGGGATGTTAGACAAAAAGAGCACCCTGTAGCAAAGTTTTTGCCTGTAGAAGGCAATACAGGTAGAGATTGTTGGGCTGTGGCATTTGGTAATGCTTATAACAATGAAGAAAGAGTTATAGCAGCTGGTTATGATAATGGGGATATAAAATTGTTCGATTTAAAAATGAATGCTGTAAGATGGTGTAAATGCGTTAAAAATGGAGTAAGTAAATTCTAAAATATGTAGCATTTTAATATTAAATAACTTTAGGTGGTGGGTCTACAATTTGATAGAAGAGATATTCAAATGAATAAATTGGTGGCAACCACATTGGAATCCAAACTATATTGCTTTGATGTAAGAACGCAACATCCCAAAAAAGGTTTTGCATATGTAACTGAAAAAGCGCACGACTCCACAATTTGGTCTGTGAAACATTTACCGCAAAATAGGGAAATATTTATGACCACAGGGGGAGCTGGAAGCTTATGTCTTTGGAAATAGTAAGTAAAAACACCATTTGGAAAAACTAAAACCAAAAATTACAACTTTCAAGTCTTTTATATTCATTGTAAATTGAGTTTTTATGACATTTTTTTTCAACAATTTCTTTAATTCTAACAAAAATCAACTTGTCTAGTTTTTTCCAAACAATACAGAAATGTGCTAATACAAAAGGAGATAATTTAAAGAAAAAAGTTTTTATGAATACATCCATCCTAAAGTACTGTAATCACCTCCTTTCATATTACCACATAAATTAGAAAGACCCTGTAGATATAATTAATAAATATTTTTTTTAGTAATTATCCTGATAAAAGAGTTGAAAAGGACTCGGATGATATTTCCTATGGTGTGGCTGGTGAATTATCCCTATTACAAAACTGTACACTTTCTGATCAGCCAATCACAGGTTTTGATTGGTGTGTAGATAAACAGGGGCTGGCTGTTGCATCGGCATTTGATCAGACTGTACGAGTTTTAATTACAACCAAGCTTAACTTACAATAATAATTTTAATAAATATTAATAGTTGTTTTATTAAAAAAACACCTAAAAACTATACAACATACATACATTAGTCTTATATTATATCACATGTAAATTAAAGAAATCCTAATTTATACAATTAAACCAAATTATACTATACAATATGAAGCTTAAAACTCCAATTTATGTTATACATCAAAATTTATACAAATGTGCATTTTTCTTTAATTCATTTCAAAATCGCCAAGGTCAAAAGACCTTACCCTCCTATACTAAAATCTCTGACCAGGATCTGTAAATTTTGCCGTCAAAATGTAAAAACATGCTGGTAACGGCACCAAAAACAACAATAAAGAATCCATTAATGGATCTTGTAACAGCGTTATTGATAATATACCATAAGCATGTAAACACCAATGGCCCACAAGAATAATTATATTCCTTGGTTCTGTTACAGTTGTTTTAATTAACGAAGTGATACTTTGGTTCATTTTATTGGAGAAATGTGCAGCACAAGATATTAGGGATAATATCACCACTAAGTATGGAAAAGAATAATCTAAAAAAAAAATGTGAAAAAATTGTTATTGCTTAGTTTAGTTCAACTTACATAATAAACCTCCCACAACAGCATGGATAAGCACCAAAATGGGTATAAAGTACATGGCAGCATAAATTGATAGTTTACTTTGTCTTGGAAAAACTTTACGACAAACCCAAGGCCTTATTATAAGCATTAAAATTAAAGACATTCCATAAAACACAAACACTACTGTATACCTTAAAAAGTATTATTAGTTATATAATTTATCAAAAAAGTATAATATATATTATAAACTTACAATGGGTATACTGCTTCTTGTGTGCAGTATATTTTCTTCTCAAAATTAGGCCTAGGATTGTGTAGTAATGTGTACCAATCGGCCAACATTGTGACTCTGCAGCTTGTAATTGTAAAAGTACCAATAGGATGTGATAGTAATAAAGCTAATATTGTAGCTATTGCAACTTCAAATAACGCTGTAATTTGTAGCAAAATAAGTCTTTTGCTGAACCTACAAAACATTCAAATAAAAATCTCGTAATTAGCCAGAAAACTTACTTACGTTCGCTTCATAATAACCATGTCTATAAAATACCAATGCACAGCTAAAACCAATAAGACCATAAATCCTAAATAAAGCCAGTCATAAAGTAAAGGGTTGTCTGTGCAGGGTTCACATATAAAAGTCGTGTCATTTCTTCTATAACCTCTCGGACAAGATCCACAATCACTTAAATTTCCGTTTGGAAAGAGTATTCGTCCACAATATTGCCCGGGACAGTTCATTTTTGTTGTTATTAAAGCATTAGAAAAAATTCCCAATGTTTACAACTAGGTTATGTCAAATGTCAAATATCTGTCAAATTATAGAAAATTCACAAAGATGGTAGTCTTTTAGAGCAATACGGCTCGCTGATTGGACAAGAATATTCGCTTCGCGTGCCGATTGGTCAAAACGAAATACTTGGTAATATTGTTGACAACTAATAAAATCATTTTTTGAATTAAAACAAATTATTGTGACATAATTTGAAGTTGATAAATTTTCGATTAATTTTTGGTGTATTTAGTTTTGGTTAAAAAGGTTTTAGTTAAATTTGGTTCGAATATTAGTGCGTCAATTGACTAACGAGTACCCCCCATCTATTTTCAGCCCTAGGTACTTACGGCATCAGATCGGTTTGTGTGCAAAAATTACGGTGAAAAAGTGAAAAATATTGAAGACAGAATTGTAAATAGTGCACGAACGTAATTCAAAGACATTTTCGAGTAAGGAAAATGTGTGTATGTCTAAAGAAGAAGCATAGATCGAATTGCAGGGAGGATTTAATATCGGAGTAACCAGCTGATGGCGGGCGAAAATAGAGGCAGTTTAGCGTTTGATAGTGATTAAAGGTGTGCTAGTGATTTTTATCGAGATATTGCTTAATTAAACCCTGTTTATCGACTCTTTAATTCATTTGTAACTGTCTAAGGAACATTTAAACAAGCAGTTGATCGTTGGGCGTGCACACACCTTATGTCATTGATATTTAGCAATCATTCATAAATTCGCATCTTTAGGACTTTAATTATACGTATATCGTAGGTAAATGATGCGCCTAAAGAGTCGTGCGGTTTGACGAATACCACGGTGTTTCGTTGCTGAAATGAAGAGTGATCGGTTTACGAGCCCCGTGTAAATAAATAGTGTGTTTATTGTTGCTTGTTGCTTTTCTGAGGGAACTTCTTGAGCACGATGTCCACCACGGCCTTCGTCGACAGAATCGATCCCTTCGCGAAGCGGTCGCTCAAGAAGAAGAGCAAAAAATCGCAAGGAAGCTCCAGGTACCGCAACTCCCAGGATGTCGAGATGCAGCCTTTGCCCTTGCTCAAAGGTACGTCAAAAAATCGCATTTATTATTTAATTATTATTTCCAACCTTTCCTCATCCTTCCGACCTAGTGCAACAGACCCTATTTGTCCTTATTACACGCACTTACCCTATCAAGATAACTCATATACACTCTGTGTATTACTATAGTATTGTATGCTATTGCATTCCTAACAAAAACAATTTCGCCCTATAATAAAGTCAAAATCTAAAAAATATTATAGGTGTGATTTCTTAAAATTGTTCATTGTTTTTATGTTAAATTTGACATATTTTGCAATTTGCATTTTTTATTGTAAATCCCAATCCTTATGGACAAAATTATACTTTGGCCTATCGGGCAGAATGGGAACAAAATCCGTATAGATACTACATGAGTGTTTTGTATTTCCCTAAAAATAGTGCGGCAACGCTTTTTTTGAGGTGCCCAAAATTATCCTAAAAGCTACTTCAGAATAAGCCCCTAAAGTTGAAAAACTTTTGTACCTAATGCTTTTTTAATCACAACTCAAAATCCATATTTTATTAACATGATAAAGCGTACACCCTGTATTTCAAAACAAAGCGTTTTAGGGCGTTTATTGTTTTTTTGCTATTTTTGCCGAAGGTATCATTCTGTATATTTTAAATGTACTTACCTACTTGTACATTTGAACTTTTTTATTAACTATTCAAAATTAAAAAATATTGGAGCGTTTTGTATAATTAAATAATTAAATTTTGTGTTTATAAATTGTATGTCCGCCATGATTTTTTTTACTTTAGTATTAATTACTAAAAAAAATAATTATAATAGGTACGTACTTATTGTGTACCTACCTATTATTACAAGTTTTTTTGTAATGAACTTTTTTCACTTTTTACTTAAACCCTTGAATTAATTAATTTAATGTCAAATATTAATTTTTTTCTACTTCCACCTTTAAAACGCACATTATCTTACATGTTTCCTTGACACTAAGTGACCTTTTAAATACCCATTGACAAGTTGTGGCTTTATGGCGTTTTAGTCACGGGCTGAAGTTAGCCACAAATTTTGAGTCACGGGCTGAATTTTGTATTAATTTAGTTGACAAATGTCATAAAATCATTAAAATAAAGTGCATTTTTTGAAAAATAATACTAAATGTTAAAAATTATTTTATTATCTCAATACAAAAATACAAAAGTTTTAAATAGTTTCCCAACGCCAATATTTGAAAAGTTTATATGAACATTGTACTGACCTTTTAATTTCGCCGGCAGTAAATTATAACTTAAATTCGAGCTCGGACTCCACTGTGAAGTGCTCATAAAACATTTTCTTTACTTTCACTGTGAAAAAATGTTGTTAATCCATTTTCAAGGAATACATTTCGATTTATAACCTTTATCATCCGTGTTTATAACACATACAAATTTGACATTTGACGGTAACACAAATTCTCCTCTTGTTTTATAGATGGCGCTCTATACAAATATTTGATTTAAAATATTTTAAGATAATAATAAGTATTTGTCGTAGAAAAAGTAGGTATAGTATGCACCTTGTTTATAAACTTTTCTAAACACTCATTAATTTAAATAAATTAAATGCGTGTCTAAAATGGCGTTTATCAAACTTAATACATAATATACTATTATCTACTCCTACATCAACAAGCTGTCACTTTATCGCGTTTTAGTCACGGGCTAAAGTTAGCAATAGTGGCTTTTGGTCACGAGCTGAGGTAGGCTTTATTATAAATTGGAGAAAAGTGAGGTTAAATCCGATAAAAGTTGACAGATGTCAAATGTTTAACGAATAAAATTTGCTTTAAATTCTTTATGTTCTTCGTAGATAATATATAGTACCGATGCAACTTGTTTTATAAACTTCTTTACTAAACACTCGCTCGCAAGCTTCTCACGTGCCTAATAAAACTTGTAACTAAAATGGCGTTTATAAAACTTGATAAATATAATAATATTATTGCCACCTGCTAACCAATGTTTAGTTTACTTACGTAAAACTTATAAGTGAAGTTATTTGCAGGTTTCAAAGGTTATAATCGTCAAAATAAAGCGACCAGAAAGTGAGGTTAGAACGGACTGATAAGTAGATGTCAAATTTTGTCGAATTTTGTTTATTGTTGAAAATTATTTTATTTATTTTTTTCTTTCGTAATACATACTAGGCCACTTAGTTAAAGTTTCATTTTTGAAATCACAATCGGAAAATATTATATATAACAGTTTTTTATGGCTGTCATCAAATTTTAAAATTAAATGAGATACCAAATTTCTGAAAAAGGGGTAAATTGTTATTTTAGCCAAACTAATAAAAAAACTCCTAGTTAGTTGGGGCTATCGAGCGTGATTACATGTAGTATGCAACTCGTTTATAAACTTTTCCATTTTTAAATATGATATTTCCATGGTTAACGGCAGATTTATAAGATATGATGTCCTTGTGTTTTGCAAATAAAATAACCCTTTCAACTCCTCAAATAATTAAATCAAGACTACCAGAGGCGGATTTACAAATTTGCCGCCTACACTGAGAAAAAAATAGTAATTTTAAACAAATATATTTAATATTCCAAATTTATTTGAACAACGAATTTGAATTGAAGTTTATTTATAATTATTAAATGCAGCTTTATTTAAAATATTTTTTTAATTAAATTTGGAATTAATTTTATTTCTTTGACCAAATGATTCTCTTAATGTACCTGCTAAATATCTATATTTTTACAAAACTAAAAATAGTTAATAAAATATGCAATACCTACGAAATTTTTTATTTAAAAATGGGTTAATAACACAGACTAATGGTTCTGCGGAAAAAAAATCCGCCTCCCAAAATTTGCCGTTGTTACAGTATAGGCTATAGCCTAGCTAGCCTAATATGCATAAATCCGGGCCTGAAGACTACCATGTATAACTGTCGCCAAACAAACAAGTAGGCGGTCGACTTGCTTTTGTTTCCTTTTCTGACAGTTCAGATGCCAATCTGTCAGTGTAAGTTTTATAACTAACCAGCTTATCTCCGTTAAATAAACAAATTAGATCGAATTACATAAGCTGATTTGTGTACTGAAGAAATGAGCGCAGGAAAACACGTTCTATATTACTTTTTTTAACGACATTTTTCTGTTATTATCTAGACGCGACAACCAAGACAAGGTCGGAGCTGTGTGAGGCAAGGTCGCTGTTTTTATTTTCGAGAATATTTTTGCACTAAATTATCAATAAAAACTTATTTCTATTTGAAAAGGATAATAATAATTTAAAAGTATTGGGTAGTAGCAATGTAGTTTTTGTTAAATTGTTATTATTTATTTTATCGAAATGATTGGTATAAATAAACATAAAAGTTGTAGGTACCTACACACACCATTCTTAAAATATTTAGTATTTAAATTATACCAACATCCTGTTATAAATAAGTTCTATTAATACATATCAATTTAGAAATATGAACCTAGACGTTTATCAATTCAAAACATTAAAGTTGTACTAATTTTACTCCTTGCAAAGTTTTTTAAATTAAAACTAACTAATTACTTTTGTGTATAAAGGTCTGAATTTAGAACACATTATAGGTATATACCTATTGTATTATTTTCAGAAAATAAAACAAAATTAGCATTAAACTGACCGATAGATAACCTCAATTAGTTGTGTTCAAATGTCAAAGTGGGAAATCTATCCTCACTTATCAAATATCAATTTTGCATCGAAAACTTTTTATAACATATAGATTAGTTAGACTTGGTTTTTATATTTATAAGTAAATCTTTATGACTCAGTGTGCACCTATTTATTTTGCATTTTATTTTTAAATGCTTTAGGTTTATCATGTTTTTTATTATATTTGTAATGTTATTTTATCTGCTCCTACATTGACTAGCTGTGACTTTATGGCGTTTTAGTCACGGGCTGAAGTTAGCAATAGTGGCTTTTGGACATTTTAGTCACGGGCTAAAGTTAGCTTTATTATAAATTACAGAAAAGTGAGGTTAATTTCGTTGACATTTGACAGATGTCAAATGTTTAATTGGATTTAAATTCTTCTTTGTGGTCGTCGTAGATAAAGTACAGTATGCAACTCGTTTTATAAACTTATCTAGACACTCGTTTTTATTAAACACTCGCTTGCAAGCTTCGCTCGTGCTTAATAAAACTCGTAACTAAAATGGAGTTTATAAAACTTGATACATAATATAGTATTTTACACAGGTCTAGGTTTTTGATGCGCTAAATTTGAATCCGACTTCAGGGTTGCTCCATCCCTTAAGGTTTTTAAGAAATTGTAAAACAAAAGTACATGTTAAAGGGTACCTACATATGTATATTTCGAATACAATTTTCCAATATCTTGTTTCCTGAGAATCGTTAGTTGAAACGATGAATCAAATTTGTATCTTTATTTATCAAGTTTGATAAACGCCATTTTAGTCACGAATTTTAATTAAATGAGTGCCTAGAAAAGTTTATAAACGAGTTCTATACTATACTTTTTTACGACAAATAATTAATGGGTATTATCTAAAAAAATATTTACATTTAAATATTTGTATAATGACATCTAAACAAAAATAAAGTAACCATCAAAATAAACATTTTTGAAGTAATTTTCACCATTAACATTGCCGGTTATTATTTTAATTAAACTTAACAATTATTGAAACTTTAAAATATTAAAATAACTTCAAAATATGATTATGTTAAGAAAATATTTTCTCCTTTGATATTTTTTATTACTAGAATTGCAAAGTATTATCACAAAGTATTAAAAATTCTTACACGGGAAATGTTAAAGGTACAAGAAGTGACAGTTGTATTTATTGGAATTCCCGTTAGACTTTACATTTAAATATTTGTATAAAGTTACATCTATACAAAAATAAAGTAACCATCCCAATAAACATTTTTGACGTAATTTTCACCATTAACATTGCCCGTTATTATTTTAATTAAACTTAACAATTATTGATACTTAAATATTAAAATAACTTCAAAATATGATTATGTTAAGAA